GGGAGAGTGGAATAGCAAGTGTTCTAAAATTGTCACTGAGGAGGGTGTAGCATCCCTGGTCATATTTCATCACTTGAAATGTATCCAAGAGGAACTACTGAGAGGTGAATGATGGATAAACATGATAGTGGGGCAGGAGGAAAGAAAAAGAAGTAAAAATTATATGTGTAGGTATAAATATAGATATGCATATATGTAAATATATAAATATAGGTGTATTTGTCTATTCGTGGATATATATAAACATGACAAGGATGCAGATGGACGTTGGGCCTTCACTTAAATCTTATCTCAGTACAAGAATGGTTTGTTCTAATAATATGAGAGTGCATGATACTCACCTTCCCGACATGATCACTGAATACAAATGGTTGCATAAGCAAATGTGGTGAAGAAAGCCGATGGTGGCCAGCTATTAAAAGACATAGCTTCTGGGGTCTTAAAAGCTCAAAGATAAACAAGCAGCCATTTAGCAGGGAAGCAACAAAGCCCACATGGTAGAAATACACCAGCCTGTGTGATCATAAAGCATCGATGGAAATAGGTATCAGAAGTTGAAAACAAGCACTCAAATGTACATAAAGGAGGGTGGACAAAGTGCAGACCCCAAATCCACCGGTAAGATAATTGACAGTCCCTCCCAGAAGGGCCACATGGAAGGAATGATAAATCTACGGAGCAGTATTGCAGTAATTAAACAAGTAACTATCCTCTAGTTCTTTAATATTTCCTCCCCTTTTTATTATGGTCTTAGTTTTAATTAATTAATCTTGTTAGACCTGCATATGTTCATTTGTATAATTAAGAGCATTAAATACCTGAAAGCCAAGATAGATTACTCTTCAGAAACAGTAATGCGAGTGAGGATTACTTGAGGGTATGGGAAGAGATTTGGGGGGCACGGAGGGAAGGAGGAGATGATAACAATGATGACTATATAACCCCACTGGAAGAGAAGAGATAACTGATGAATTGCAGGTGAATGGATATATTGGATGGCTTAAGATATGGCAATATATATATAATATGATTACAAGGGTTTCTGAGGGTTAGGATGTGGCAAGGAGGGCATAGAGGGGAGCCGATATCAAAAAGTTCATGAAGGAAAAATGTTTTAAAACTGATGTGGTAGCAATTGTACAATTATGCCAGATCTAATTGAACCATGGACTGTTATACAGTTGTAAAAGTTACCAATAAAATGATTATAAATAATTAAAAAAATAGAATCAATTGAATAAGAACAGTGAACTCAAATATAAGAACAATGGCCCCATACTGGGTCATGTTTTGTCTTGCTTTATTTTACATAGAATCGCTGTGATTTGGAACCAAACTGATGGCACTAGGAGAGGCAACAGTTTCCTTCTCAGTTTTCCTATTATAATTGCATCCAAATATTGTATATAGTCATATTTTATCCTTCTACGTTGTAAGATTTGGTGAAAAAACAAACAAAATGTTGTTGACTATTTCCTAAGCATAGTGTGTATAAAATTTGTCAAGTTCAAAGGACAGAATAAATAAATTATAACCCAAGAAATTTTAAAAATAAATTGTTTCTCAAATACCATTTCGTTCACATTTCCTGAAACAATCAGATACTCATCACCAAGGGAAACTTGACGTTATGGGTAACCACTGATCAGCACATACAATCTAACCTCAAAGGAAATGGGAAACGTCAACTGAAGAGAGCTATTTGGGGGCTGACGCCAGAAGTAATAATTATTTTATTATTTACAATATTTGCATATGCATTACAACTACATAATAACTTCTAATAGTCTCATTTAAAGAAAAGTTTTGAGAAAAAATCTAGATTCTTATTGTCCCTTCTTCTATGAAAACATAACATAAAATAACCAAAATATATAAAATCAATAAGCACAAAACTCAAAGATACTTCTGAAACACATAGAAAACTCTCATTTTAATTAGACAATTATATATTATGTTAATGAAATCTCAGTAAAGATACAAGCAGCTCGCTCACACCAACCATTGAGTAAATTCTGACTCATAGTGACCCTAGGAGACAGAGTAGAAATATCCCTGTGAAAGGACAAAACTTTTCAGGGAACCAGCAAGCAACGTCATTATCACGTGGTGGGCTGCACCTGCTGATGTAGCACCCTTCTCCACCAGGGCTACTCACATCAAACCAGGGGTAGTTAAATTGGGAGAAACATTGACACAGAAAAACAGCACCGAGGAAAACTGTGAGTCAAATGGAAAAACCCCACACCTGTGTACTGTCTGAAATCAGTCAGGAAACAATGGAATTTTAAAATAAATTATTATGTCACAAATACAGAGCCATTAAAAAATAGGTCCCTGTGCTCCCATTTATGAAGGTAAATACTACATGTGTCAAATATTTAATATTAAAAATGAAACTATTCAAATATAAAATGGAGACATGGATTAATTTCAATTAAATATAAGCAAGGATAGAAATGTCCTTAAATATGATTTCAAAATCTAAAAGTAACTAAATAAGGAATTTGGTAAATTTGCCTATATTAAAATAAACACACAATTATATTAAAACATGACTGGGAGCACATAAGTAAAATAAGAAAGATAAACTCAGGGACCTATAGAACATAGAACACATAGAAAGTACTAACAGCTCTAATATTTAAAGAACTCTTAAAAATATCAAAGTCGGAGGAAAACATATGTAAAACCTATAACAAATATTTAACAGTGTAGAAGATGAAAGTGGGTTTTAAATATATAAAACTATCCTCAGCCCCAGTCATAAGAGAAGTACAAAGTAAGTAAAAACTGAAAAGCCAGTGATATCTAAAAAAAAAGTCTGCAGTTAATAAAATTATTAACTTATTTTTATTGATTTTATTATCATGGTTACATATATATTAATTTTAGAGCATGCTAGGTTAAATGTGATACAAACTGTACTTACTACTTTTATGTTTCTGTATATCCATTGTTAATTTGTAAATTACTATGTGTTAAATATACACTCCACATCACTTTCAGTTATTGACCTGTGCTGGTAACATCGTCAATGTGGCTACTTCTCATGTGTTTTCAAAATGAAAAGTTAATTAACAACAACAACAAAAACATTAAAACAGAAGTAACAAAAAAGAATAATTGCTTCACACTTATTGCATGGCAAAAATACAAAATCTTGACAACACAATTTGTTGGTGATGCTGTGAGGTAACAGATCATCTGCATTTTTTGTGAGAATATTAAGTATTATACCCTTAAAAGAGAAAAATTTCAACATCAAGATAACTATCTATGTATTTATTCATGATTCAGTCCTCCCACTTCTATTCCCCACGTCACTCATATAAAAATCAAATGATGTAAGTAAGGGCTATTTACTCCGTTCATAGTGTAATAACATATTGGAAGCAGCCCAAATAATTGCCAAATAATTGCGATGAAATACCCAAACAGAATGGTGGACCAAGTCCCAAACACATTGGGTTACCATGAGTTGGAACAAATTTGACAACTGGTTTTTTAAGTAGGTTTTTTACTAGTGAATCATCATTGAAATATACTTAACAATTGTCATGATGTAGAACAATGCTGATGAAGCAGTATGCTAATAGAATATTTTGCATTGTAGAGAGAGATTATACACAAGGAGACTTAAAAAACTTTGTGGAGAAATATCATCTTTTAATTCCTTGTTTCTATGAATTTTTTGAAGCCCCTGCTTATACATGTGTGTATATAAATATGGATAAGATTCTGGATACAGAATAAATGAATATATCTACCCATATTCATAGGAAGAGGAAGATGACAGGGATAAAAGTACTTTTTCCCTGATAGGTCTCTTGTAATAAGCCAGATAAAATTTAAAATATTTGCTACAAAATCATAGAAATCTCTGTGAAGCAAATGTAAAAATGCGAGCTATTTTTTAAACATAGCATCAATTCAAGTGTGCAGTTCCGAAGGGAATGATTCCATCTCTCTAACCTTTCCCTAAGGCGCCCTGCTCTCTCATGGACACCCTTTCAAATGGCAGTTTGTACATCCTTCAGTGACTCAAACTGTGTTCCTCTCAAATGATCTTTGAGTTTGGGCAGTTAAAAAACTAAACAAAACACGAGTGGGCAAGCGTAGGGCTGTAGGGCGAATGGAGTAAGGCTTCCTAACAATATTCTGATAGCATATCCCTTCCCACCCTCAGAGAATGAACAGGTGTCTTGTTATGATGGGAGAAAAAATTGCCAGGGTATCTTTCCTTGTCTTTTTCTCACCAATGCAGCTTTCTATCTTCTTAAAACTTTCATAAAAACTCCGAGTGATCCTCCTAACTCCTTTGAGAAAATCTACCCAAAGCGCTATCCCTTTAGATCAAAAAATAAATAAACACACCAGTCACCATAAACTTATAAATGGACACTTCTGACTTGAATTGAACTGGCCCAGGACAGACTCTCATAAGTCATTGTTTTGAGTGGACTCTTTTTTGGGAGGCTTCTTACTGATATTAAGACAGAAATTATGTCTAAACCTCTTACAACATGTTCTGTTTATATGGATTAAACTTGTATGTATATGAACTGGCACTCTTATAACAGTATTTTTTAACATGCCTTTGCCCAATTAATATTAAGGTTGTGCTAATTAAGTATAATTTACTTACTTTGAAACCAAAAAGTGCCTTTTTAAAAAATGTATGGTAAAAATATCTCTCTATAATCTATGTAATAGTTTACCACAACACATTTTACTACATGCTACATACAGTAAAGCACTTAATTTGTTCTTTCCTGTGGGAAATGACAGTGTGATTCGGGTCTATTAACGCATCGTGCTGATTGCACAAACATAAAGGAGAAGTTGTCGTGTGGTAACACTGGCCTCTGTTTTGAAGACCAAGTGTCATTTTGCAAATTTGCAGTGTCACTTCCCGAAACAACTCAAGACGGAACTGCGTGTCTCTTCCTCGGTCCTATCTTTTCTGTAGCAACAAGAAACACCGCTATTGACTTTGTTTTCAAAGCATCGTTGAACGGGCTTCAATAACTTTTAAATTTGCCATGTTTACCTATAAAGTAGCATTAATAAGTGAGCGAGACCAGGATGTGACAGATTAGCTCTCTCTTCCTTTTAGAAAGAGAAGATGGAAACAGCATTGGTTTTCTTTCCTCAGTTAAGTATGTGTGAATCAAAAGAAAAACCTTTTTTTGAGTTAATGCATGGTCCAGGAAAAGAAGAAAGAAACAGAGAAGCTAAAATCAGGTAATTTTTGTGCCGTACTTTTAAAAACATAATTAATGCTAAATATTTATTAGAGTTTGTTTTTGAAATTTCTAGTTGCAACTGTGCGGGTGGGCAGATTTTCAGTACCAGAGGTAAAACTACTCTCATTGCCACCAAGTGAATTCTAATTCATAGCGACCCCAAGTCTCATAGGACGGAGTACATCTGCTCCACACGGTTTCTGACACTGCTGATCTCTATAGAGCACAAAACCTTGTCTACCTCGTGCTTGAAATGTAAAATGTGTTCATTGCCAAAGAGAAAGAGGAAAAAAAAAGTTATAACAATGATGGCCACTTAGAACTGCTAACAAAACCTTTACTAAAACACATTCACAAATATAAGAAGTCTTAAAATTGGGGGGAGACCATTCCATTAGCTTTTAATTAATTTTTTTTCCAGGAACTTTTTGAAAGCCTCTCTTGTTTTATAGCCACCTACAGAAAAAGTGTCTTTTGTCTAGGCTAACCTAATCGCCCCACACACATAGTGACCCCCTGGGCTTTTTCAGGGAATACCAAAGGAGAGAGGAGGGTATCAGTATGGATGTAGGAGGATTACCTATTCCAAACATGTGTGGTATTCAGAAAGACAGATTTTGAATATCGTCTAAATTGTCTTGAGATTGGTTTTTTTAATGTATTACAGAGGGAAGGAAAAACGAAATAGGTTAAGTCTTCTCCTGCTGAAACATGAGCTTCAAGAAGAGACCCTTCCCAGTACATCTGGGCACTTGGCCAAAGACATAAGGTGAATAAATTATTATTCATTTTCTGGCAAGTTTTGCTGATTCTATTATTAAAGTTTTATAAAACTGAACACTAAAGCTTTCTGTTTTACTGGAAATTGTGTAATAATATGAGTAAAATTAGAGGTATCATTTCAAGAAGTGAGTGTTTGATAAAAGTAAAGCACTTTACGACCTTGAATTAATAATCATGTAAAAGTTTAAAGGTATTCTTAAAATTATATATCTCAATTTTATATGATATATCATACTTATAAACTGATGAAATGCTCATTAATTTAAGAATTTTCACAATTCAATATTGTCAGAGCAAAGAGCTATTCATTACTTTCCTCAGTAGTTAGAAAATTATGCCCTATACATAGGAGAAAGTAAAATTTAAAAAATAGTTATTTAAGTATTAGTGATAATTCAAAATAAAAATAATAGACTTAATGTTAAATAATGTATTTCTTCTCAATTTGAAATATGGCTAATAAAACACTGAAACAAAATAGACTAAATTCTAAATTATCAATATCTCTAAATATATATTATCCCTTTGAGGCTCTAATAGTTAAATTTCTTGTACCTGATAAAAATTGCAGCATACTGTGGTATGAACTCCAAGAAAATTGCAATAAGAAAAAATGAAAATGAAAATGTCTTTTGACTGAAAGATATTATCTGTAATCTGTGTAAATTCTCCTACATGCTGGGTTTTAGCACATATTTGACCTGATTTCTTTTGTTTTAGCTTTTTAGTGATCTTATATATACCACATAGTTAATTATTTCTTAACATAAAACCATTCATACATCCATGACAAAATATAGAATGTTGTTTTAATCTATTTAATGCTTGCTAGACCAAATGCTACAATAAATTTGACCAGCATGTTTTCAGTTACCAATGTAAACACAACTTTCACTTTCAAGTAATGAAAGGAGAAAGCATTTGAAATATGAGCGTAAAGAGGAGTAACATAGCACATTATTAGAACGGAATTATCAATACCTACGTTTTCTAAATAAAACATTTGCTTCTTGAGCAGAGTCTCCCCTGAAGAGGCAGTGAAATGGGGTGAATCATTTGACAAACTGCTTTCCCATAAAGGTTAGTGATATCTTCTCCCAACTATTGTATTTCTTCATGGAAAACAACAGTCAAAACATATATACAAACTGTCACTGAATTTAAGGATTTTTAACGCTAGAAAGAATAGTCAACTAATGTAAGATTTTACGACGTTTGCATTTTATTACGAATTATTTATTACAAATGAAAAATAGCATCTTTCTGTAGAATGATAAACTATTCTAAAAGTCTTTTCCTTTTTCTAATGCCACAAAACTCTTCTTGGTGTGAGCCATCAAGTTGATTCTGCCTATAGATGGCACCAACATAGTGCCCTGAGAGGGACTGATTCTGCCTATAGATGGCACCAACATAGTGCCCCGAGAGGGACTGATTCTGCCTATAGATGGCACCAACATAGTGCCCTGAGAGGGGCTGAGTAGAGCTCCCCCCCATCCCCCCCTTGGTTTCCAAGACTGTATCTTTACAGAAACAACTTGATAGTTATTTCTCCCGCAGCATGGCTAGGGGACGTCTCAGTTCATTGCTAAACTTAACCACTGTGCCCACAGGATTCCTACAGAACTCTCCATTTTATTAAAGTTTAAATCATGTATATCATTTATTGTTAAGAATATTTAAAATTTAAAGTATGTATTTTGATGGATATCCAGGAAAACCCATTTGAAATAAGAACTTAAAGCAAGGGTAAGAGGACAGACATCTTGGGTAGCTTCTGTCTTGTGTCTATCTGGGTAAAGCATATTTACATGTTTTCACGTTGTTTTTACATGGTTTTTAACCAGCTCGTGATTTCTTTCAGAGAACAAAAACAGTAAGTTGACCAGAGGAGGCCACAGTAACAAAAATGCTTCTTCTCTGAACTGACCAGTCAGTCTGCTGCCCAAGTTAATAACACCATCGCTACCCAAATACTAGGGTGCTTCCTCAAGCCCACAGCTTTCACTTATATTCAAATTTTCTTCTTTTCTATTTCTTTGAAACAGAAACCCTTTCCATTCTTCCCAATGTGATTCCAAGATGAATCTCCCCAGCATACCGCACGGTGTCTTTACCGCAGGGGGCAGTGAGTGTCACAGTTTCAGTGTCTACAGCCAGGGCAGCCAGAGCAGAGGCTCATCACTCAGACTCCAGCACTGTCCTGCACTTGATGCAACGTCACGTTTGCTCCTTCGTACTTATTTTCTGTTTTACACTCGCATTACAATTTTCTGACTCCCTCTGACATCTTGGTGTCCTCTGCATGTCCTGTACCTGTTCACAATTCTATTTATGCAACTAACTCTGGATAGTTTCTTCTTCCCATTAACATATATCACTACTCTGAATGTTGACTCAGAAAAAATAATTGCAGAAATAAGACAAAAGGAGGCTTAAATTTCTGTGAGCATGTAGTCACTGAGAGTGGAGAATAATGGCAGGAAAGGTTTATGTTGACAAAGATATAATTTGTTCTTCCTGCCTCTCCCTTACTTCACATTAATCTGATTATCCCCTATTTTGTAAATGGGTGGCATAAGCAATCATCCTTCTTCATTCTCCATATCTAATCAGTTTACAATCTCTAATCTTGGCCAAGTAGAAGTTGAACTCATCCATCTTCACTCTATCTAATGCCAGTCATAGCGGAAGTCTTTTTCTGTTCTTAGGAGGCTAATTGCAACCAACAATGTCTACTTCCTGCCATAATCCGTTCCCTAAAATTTCATTTTCTAATTTCGACCTTATTTTCAAACATCCTTGTACAACTTGTTGCTTTAGTCCCTTCGCCAGGCAGAACAAAGGGGAGAAAAGGAGGTATAGAAGTTATTTTAGAAACTCTGATTATGAAGATGAAGTAGCGTGTTTTCCTCGTGGCTGCCCAGCATACGCCTTGGTAAATGTCACGTGCTCTTGAAAAGGATGTTTTGCTGGGAGTTAGTTTGGAGTTCCTTTGCATTTTTATTTCTTGTTTCCATTTGCAACATAATGGTTATATCATTTTAGTTAAACTCAATAATCCCTCTGAACTTCACCATCCTCAACTATAGACAACTATAACAATGTGCTTAATTCTAATAGATTTGAGATAATTAAAAATAAATTAAGTACCATGAAATATAAATATTTTATGTTATTACTAAAATAAGTATTATTAAAAATAAACATGTTTATATTTACCCATTCTACTTTCTAATTTGTTAAACATTCCTTAAATTCAGATCCTTCCAACAAGTGGATTCTGACCCCTCTTGAGCCCACAGACAAAGTAGAACTGCTTGTTAGGGTTTCGGAGACTGTAAATCTGTAGAGAAACGGACAATGTCACGCCTCACTGGTTTACAACGCGTATCCCACAGCATCACCAGGATGTCTAAACATAATTAGAAAGTAAAATTTTAAATTAAAAACAAACTTAATTTATTTACTTAATTTAATATATTCACATATAATGAGTTTATAAAACTGTTTACCCATTCAAAGAAAAAATATTTTTCAAGAGTAATTCATTCTACAGAAAATTCCCACCGAGCATGTTGTAAAACTCTGCTTTACAAGTGGTCAAAGCCCAGAGGATAAAGTTGAGTGAGTCCTTCCTTTTCTTCTACCGGTGGAAATATTGAACAATTGAAAATTATTGGCATTTGGAATCAAGGGAAGTAATCAGGAAATCAAAGAATTAGCACTGATCCACTTGAACTTTATTGTCATCTCTAATGATTTAATGAGCTAGCTAATTAAACTATGTTCCATGCATAAAAATATTGTTTTTAGTATTCTTCTATCCAACACATATGATTAATAAGTCATTATTTTAATTATAATATTTATTTAAATATTAAGTATTACTATATTAATTAAGTATTGTGTATTGTTCTATCACATATATTCAATATTATTATACTAAATATTATTTGTTATAGTATAAAATGATCACTTGAAACAGTGTGGAGTTAAAACCCTTAAATTTGCATTTATTTCTATTGACTTTATTCAAGGCAAATGGCATGAGCCTACACACACATAAACATTATGAGAAAGATTGCGGTCCATCCATTTTGTAAAAATTGACACACACATTTTAAAAAGTACTTGGCTCCATAAAATTTTGTAGGATTTGATCCAAACATTACACGGTTTTATTAAAATTCCATTTTAAAAACATTGACTAATGCTTTTTAAATGAAAAAAAAATACACTTAGAATGAAATGTAAACTTTAATATATAATAATGTATCAATTTCTAATGATGATCCATTTTGGATAAATTCCATGGATATTTTTATTTACTACAATTAAAGCCACTGATATTTCTGTGATTAGTTTCATTTGTCTATTCTCTAAACCACTCCACATTCCCACCAACTCTTGGAAATTATACTTTTCAATGCAGTTACTTTGCTTTTAGTTTCCTAAGTGAATTGGTCCTATTTTGCACCCTGGTGGGTTAGGCATTTCACTGCTAAAAGCCAGGTTGGCAGTTCAAGCCCATCAGCTCCTGCACTGGAGAAAGATGAGATTGTTTCCTTTTCTAAAGATTTACAGTCTCGGAAACCCTCTATGGGGTTGTTAAGAGTCAGAATATATATGAGGATGTTACAAATATAAAGTAATAAACTTTAAAGGAAGGGCTATTATAGAAGGAAAACTGATGAATCTGTATGTGTGTTGCCAAATAAAGAGAGAAAAAATGTAGATATGCAGAAAAGAACCAGTTTAGACCCACCACCCCCAAAAGAGGAAGATATTGGTGCTTTTATAGATGGGAAGTACCAGAAGAGGGAAAACATAAAATAATGGAATAGAGTTTAAACTTATTAGGTGTGCTGGTAAATTGTTTCAAAATATTTTAGGGATTTACAGATGCACCTCTAAAATATAGGCAGAATGACTGAGTCACATATTAAAATTTCTTGCTGTTAAGTTCATTGCAACTCATAGTGGACTTAAGACAGAGTACAACTTCCGCTTAGGGTTTTGTAGTTTATAATCTTTATGGAAGCAAATTGTCACATCTTTCTTCCACAGAATAGCTCGTAGGTTTGAACCATTATCATTTTAGTTTAAAGCTGACAGCTTAACCACTGTTCCACCAGGAAACCTGGGGTATGTATAGAGAGTTTTGAACTATTCATATAGTTAATGCTTGAAGATTTGATAGGGAATATTATTTTCTGTGAAGAGAGTATCTATTGGGCAGAAAGTTACCCAATACAGTATGACTATATTTTTCCTGTGTACTGCTTCCCAAAATGCAAATCATTTCAGTATTTTTCTTGTTTTTATTAGTAACTATTTACATGGGCTTTTACACCCTGAATTGTGATTCCACCTAGATTAATTATGACAATAATGTATAATATGTAAGAAAAGAGTAGAATGTAAGTCATCCCCCCTCTGATTTAAAAATACGACCTGATTAGACTATGGAAAATATGTGTTACTGACTTTGAGTAAGGGCTGCACCGAAATGCGCATTTCTCTTCTGGGAAGGAAATGATGACTTCTCCTTACACTTTTCACCTTGTGGCATTTTAAATTGCTCTTTCTAATTTCCAGTTAGTGTATTTTGTAACATAAGGGATTTCAGCATTCCACAAAGTCACATTTCTGGATCAAGTTTACCCATAGAAAACATTCATTTCTTAAGCCTACCTGAAGAATAAAAATGAATGAAAGCTAGTGTCAACTTATATGTGGATCTCATAAACAAGCTGTTATTGTGAAAGAAACCAGTGCATTTTTTGCTAGGTTAAAAACTATAAAAGGAGAAACAAACCAACCTAGTATTTAGGAGATTATACTGCACTTGGGTTCCTAACTTCAAAATTTCTTGACTTTTGTTTCATTTGATTTCTTGGCATCAGAAAAATACTCCAACAGATGCCAGTTTCAATTTAGAAAGATGCAATTATAAACATTTCATATTTGTATAACACATTACACCAGCTTTTTCCAGTGTGAATTTTAATCCCAGGTTATATCAAGCACTTCGGGCAGCTGTATTCACCACTGGTGCTTCTAAAAGTTGTTTAGTA